TGCTAGAAATAAAGCAACATATGCGGAAGTATTGCGCGAAGCATATATGTGACAATGCCCAAATTCAGGAAGTGCTCCATTCTATGAAGTTGGTGATTGTCTACATACGATTCCCTTTACCAGTACACGCGAATGTCAGTTAATGTCCTCTACCGTTTCCGCTGATGACGGCGGAGGAGTTCCAAGCACTTGCTTGACGGCTAGTAAGCTGCACAGCTATGGCGCCGTTGGCATGAGGTTGCTTATGTTCGCTTTTGCGTTAGATTAAACACTTCGCCATGATCGGCGGGGATTCCAGTTTCTGTAGCGGTGCGGAACATCATACAGGATGCATTTACGGAAGAGATCGCTTGCCGACTTAATTAACATGGTACATATAAACATCGTCTGGAGATACTCGTATGATCCGTATGATCATCATTTAGCTCGCAATATAGCTACTGACATCTATGCGCAAGATGCTGGCGTAGGAATGATGATGCATGTATGCACCGAGGTTGAGGTGGAGGGTAAGTTGCGTCGGTGGCTTCAGCGTGCTCACAGGCGTTTAAGATGTGCCTCGACTTCAACGGAGCAAGATGTATTCTTCCTCTTAACTGCACAGGCTTCAGTAACTGAAGTGTTGTGGCCAACCTTTGAACAACGATGAATATGCGCTGCACAATATAATGAGCCCGATCATCGCCAATTGAGATATAGGATTACAATGCTCCATGCTGTCGCGCTCAGCGCTTTTAAACATGGATAAATCAGTGTTCTGTACATTTGGAATCTGATTCCGTGGGATAGGTAACAACGTAATTCTGCATGGGCAGTCTGACTTTAACCAGTTTCCAAATATGGAGCTTAATTATGTTTTCATTTTGCCGGGGTTTTTGCTGCTGTTGCAATTCATGTACAGTGTACATGCTGAGTAACAAAATTGATGATAAGGTTGTGTAAAGACGTGATGACATCAATATATCGTAATGATCACTGCGAATTTTACTTTAGTTGCATTTGTAGAAGCGCCCTACACGTCTTTTTGTGGACACACCACAGATATCGCAGTTCCAGATCCTTCGCATAGTGCAATCTGGTTTTCATAAATTGTTTACTGACTTGCTTTCTGTTTAATTTCAAACAGAGTGCTCCGGAAGTGAAAACGGGGATCCTTGGAGGTACGTCACGCATCTACACGGTTTAAGCTCGTTGCGCCAGGCTTTTATTTTTTCCGTGCATTTATATTACAATAAACGTACTTTACGTAACTATGTAATTTCGCTTCGGGAATGGCTTTGTGCGGCGAGTAGTCACGACTAGAGAACATATTGCGGAACGGCACTAAAGCTACGCTGAAATTTTGTTTGAGCGACCAAGTCGTTCAACAAATATCACGCCTGGACGGCAAGGATCATAATATATGTTCACACAGGAAGCAGACACTTTTTGGCCGCTGGTGATATGCGAAGTGCTGCTGCTTTATTCTGGCGCAACCATGAGACTCAAACATTTACACTATGAAATAAATAAACTGACATTTTGACTGTTAACATGTCCTAAATTTTGCATTCTGACCCTGTGCAATAGCCAGAAATTCCACATCAGGGAGACCACGCTTCTTTTAAGTTAATCTTATAGACTTTGCGTGCCTCAGGGCTGACAGGCCCGGGTTTCAGACTGGTGGAGGAGTACTCTTGCTTATAAAGTGCCAATATAAACACTGGGAGGCTCCATTTACCATGAGTTCTGCTCATGTTCAGGTGATATCCTGCTATCTAAGAGCATGGGGTAGATTGGAGATCATAGTATGTGTTTATCATAGCCCATCCTCCACGCGAGAAGAGGACAGGGATCTTGGTACGTTACTAAGACAGGCGGTAATGGCTGCACCTAATTTTCTGATCGTTGGTGACCTAAACCTTCCGCATGCTGATTGGCAGCATGCTGAAAACAGAGTGGGTACTTTAGAGAAGGAACTAGTAGATTGGATGCATGTAAATGCGTTCGAGCAATACGTCAATATCTCGACTAGGAGTCGTACTAAGAGTACCCCTTCAACCCTTGATATCGTGATCGCCAGACATGGTCACTTGATTGACTTATGCGTGGAGCCACCCATAGGTAGGAGTGATCATTGTGTTTTGACCTTTTCTCTGGACACACCGAGGCTTGCAGAGAACCGTCGAATGGGAAGAGATTTGAATCGTATTGATTTTACGAAGCTGCGGGATCGAGCGCTTTAGATCACTTGGGTCCCTGAACAGGACAAGGCCACTTTGGAACAGAGGTGACTTCTACTTAAAAGTGGACTTGTACAGTTGCTGAATGAATTTGCTCCTCTTCGCCTCAGGAGACATCTTGGGAAACCCCTATGGTGGAGAAGTAAAATTGATAGAGCGATAAAGAGGCGCAATGCTGAGTGGAGAAAATATCAAGAAACTCGGGACTTTCGACGTTGGCTGCAGTACAAAAGGTGTCGAAACATGGCTATTAAGTTACAGTGGCAGGCGAAATACTCATATAAGCTTAGGTTGGCCAAATTTGCGAAAACTAATCCCAAGTGTTATTACAGTTATGTCCAGTCAGAGGCTTCTTTAAGAGAGGTGGTCGGCTGTATAACCATAAAGGACGGTACCCAGGCTGTAGACGACGTCTATAAAGTAGCAGTGCTGCTCCGTGTCTACCAAAGCCTGCATCGGAAGGATAGTGGGTCAGCCTTGCCATCACAGCCGCACTGCTCAACTAGCTACACAATGCGGGAAATTATCCTCAATGTGTCAGAGGTCTTCACAGTGCTGGCCAGGTTGAACCCTTATAAATCAGCTGGTCCTGATAGTGTACATCCCGCCATAGTTAAGCCGCTGGCTGATATTCTTCAGTATCCCGTAGCGGAGTTATTCAACCAGTCTCTCCAAGAAGGCAAGCTGTCACGTGATTGGAAGGAGGCGACTATTGTTGCCATCCATAAGGGGGTTCTAAGTCGGTGCCTCTTAACTATAGACCTGTTAGTTTGACCAGCATCATACTGAAATGTTTGGAAAAGCTTATAAGGAACAAGAGCTGTGAGCACTTGACTGAGCATAATCTAATTAGAGCGGAACAGCATGGCTTTCTCAAAAGAAAGTCTTGTCTTACCAATTTATTGTGCTTCTTAGACGAGATTACCCGTTGTCTTGATGGTGGGATATCGGTAGAGGTGTGCTATTTGGACTTCAGTAAAGCCTTTGACTCCGTGAACCATCGATTTTTAATTGAGAAGCTGACATGGTTTGGATTGCATCCTCAACTATTACTATGGCTCTCTGAATTCTTACGTGGAAGGACATTCAGAGTCAGCGTTGGGGAAGCGAGTTCTAGTGTTGGCCATGCTTACAGCGGTGTCCCTCAAGGTTCGGTCCTGGGTCCATTGCTGTTCCTTATGTTTATAAATGACCTGGCTCCTCTTCTTGAGGATCCCTGCTACATCTTCGCAGATGACTTGAAGCTAGTCAGTAGGGGAAACCGAGCGACATTGGCTAAGGACATCATCACTGTGGCGAATTGGTCAAGCCAATGGGACCTATCTCTAAATGCCAACAAATGTCAACTATTGACTAGTAGTGGTAGTGGAATTGCAGTTCAGTCTTCTGTGGGATCTCTATCATTGCGGTGTACTGACGAAGCCCGTGATCTAGGTGTCATCGTAGCGAACAATTTTAAGCCTTCGGCTCAGTGTCGCCATGCTGCCAATAAAGCACGACATGAGTTATTTCGTCCTAGGAGGGCGCTGAGTAACACTAAAGCAGAAGTATTCTTGCCCTTATATAAAGCAGTGGTTAGACCACATCTGGAGTATTGTGTTCAGGCCTGGTCACCGTACCTCCGGAGTGACATCATTTGTATAGAAAAGATTCAGAAACTTGCGACCAGGATGATTGAAAGTCAACGAGGAAGTCTTACGAAGATCGTCTAAGTAGCTTAGGATTATTTTCCTTTGAACGGTGTAGGCTGAGAGGGGATTTGATAGAGACGTTTAAGATCATTAAGGGACTTAGTGGTATTAGTTCCACCCATCTGTTTGAGTTGGCTACGTCAGACCATCTACGCGGGCATCGCCTGAAGCTCAAACATCACAGAGCTTGTTTGGACATCAGGGCAAATTTTTTTACGAACCGAGTAGTTAACTACCGGAATAAACTTCATTCTGATTTAGTGGAGTCTGAGACCGTAGTAACCTTCAAATGGGGCTTAGACAATTGTTGGTCCGTCCTTTTTCCAGAGCTATTGTAGTTGTACTGGTATATGTAGTGTATTTTGATGCTGGCATATGAAAGTGAAGAGATTGCTCTTGTTCTTGCTTCATTCCATTGCAGAAGCAAGAAGAGACAATCCAACGTCGAAGTGCCGGGGGCCGCTTCACTTAACGGCACAAGAACTGGACGCTCGTTAGGCGGAAGCCTCTATCGTCCTTTCCGGTTTTATTTTTGCATACGGTAGCCTATTTTTTGCCTCATTGTTTAAGCCATGGATTCTGTAGACCATAAGGTAGAGTCTATGCTTAGCGTTGTATCTCTCTCCGTCCCACCTTTTTGGGACATGGATCCTCTCTTGTGGTTCGCTCATCTTGAGGCCGAGTTTTATAACCACAGAATCACTTCCGACTATGCGAAGTACTGCAAGCTCCTGTCCTATCTCCCCAAGGAGATATCAATGCAGGTTCGTGACGTCATCATTTCTCAGACCGAAAACCGCTATGAGGCTCTCAAGGAAGCCACGATTAAGCGTGTTATGCCCTCTGAGAAAGTTCGCCTGCAGCAGCTTTTCAGGGATCTGCAGGTGGGCGACAAACTGCCCTCAACCCTTCTACGAGAGATGCAGCAATCCTTGGTTCTCCCATGGGATCTGACCTGACCTGACCTGACCTAATCACATAGTGAACGCTCAGTAAATGCTTAACATCCGTTATATAAAAACCGGTATATGCAGATATATTCATAAACGATGTGGAACGCTGCTCATTTGAATGAATAACACTTCACTCACGTTTCCCCTCCTGACTTCGACTGTTCGGACTGGGTGAGGGCCGAAAGGCGGTACTCAATTTTCGGTTCTCCATTTTCAAGTAATATCCATTTTCCATCTTCAGTTCCCACGACAATCTTGTCTTCTGATACCCAGGTATGACAGAGGAAGTTCTGAGGTTCCACTTTTATAAGACCATGTGGTTTCAAGTTATTTTCACCATATCTATAAAGACGGAATATATCCATGCCGATGACACATAGCTGCGTAGAATCACGTGGGTTGAAGGAAATCTAAAGGTACAAAAGATTTTAAGGAAAACAATTGACAAACGTACTTGACGTATCTGGTTTCCCATAGATGTTCTTAGTGCTGCTAGCTGTTTGGCCTTTTCCCATGCCCAATACACAAGGGTCCAGTCAGGTTGAGATCCCTGAGCTGCCAAATATTTGGAATCGGGAGAGAATGCTATGCTCACAAATTCATTGGAGTGAACCTCATTTGAAGATATGGTCTTCTTTTTCCGTAAAGCCGACAAATCATAGACCGTTATAACAGGCCTATCGACAGCTTTTTCGGCCAAAGCGACATATCGTCTATTAGGGCTGATAGCCATTGCTGTCATTCCCAAGGATTTATCCAAGCCGGCGATGAATTTTTGTGATTTCTGCTCTGTATTAAATAATACCAGGTTGGATCCGCAGGGATATACCACCGTTTGCTCATCATGAAAAACTATAGATCCAGTTATCCCCGTTCGATATCCAAAAATATGTCTTAATTGCGCTAGAGCTAACATAATAACTAGAATATTCTTAATTTGAAAACTGGTCAAGCTAATTTCATGGAAACGCACCCTAAGTTAACAACTTAAACAAAGTTTTGTCAGCACAAAAGAATTAAGGCTGAAAAGAGAACTAAAGGGTTGTCTGTATTGCTTGAGTCGCAGTTTCTGTAAACAATTATAAGTATGTTATTAGTTGCTCACGCTTACGTTTGCGACATAGGAGCATGAACTTAGCCATCAGCCGCGGCAGAAACCATATCCCAACGAGTCTCCTCTTTCGTTCAGTACTAAGCCTTCCAAGTCCCATCTTTGGTCCATTCTAAAACCATCGGAGGCCAAATGTGCATCAATCGATCGATTGCGCTATCTTTTGTGAATAAACACGGAAGCTTCAGGCCAGGCCTGAAGTAGCTCTCGTACCAGGAGCGAATTATACTCACCATAAAAATCTACAAATGGCCGAGTTGCATAAAAGCCTTCTAAAACCCCGAAATTCCATAGGATCCAAACCTGTACCGTGATACGTGTAAAGAAATTTAACCGCTGCCAAAATTTTCCCTTATCCAGAGCAACTTGGATTCTTTCATTGAAGTAGAATAGAACGGGCACTCACGTCGTCTATATTGTATCTGGATTTTTGGCGCATTGTTTGAACTTTTCAAGTCAAATCAAGTCGGTCCTCAAATGCAGCTTTTGTGCACCAGGGTAGGTGCATTGTCAGTTTTTACACTAGCGGTTGTACAGTTCGCTGAGCTTGGCGCTTTTGTTGCAAACGTTACATCACCAATCGAGGTGATATCGTAAGCGCATAGTTGAGTGGCAGGTGCTATCGTAGAATAGACTGGATGAGAGTACGATGAGCCTGGTGGGCGTGCTGTTTTATATTACTGTGGTTGTCCGTTGAAGCCAGCAATCCTATTGGTTGGTGGTTCGAGCCGCGTTCAGATTAATAGAAATGCAGATGACCTTTGACCTCGACTCCTGGTCTGCTTGTTCTTGTGCGCAAGCCTGTTGTCAGTTCCGGTTGTCCATTCACATGTTTCACCGGATTCAGTCGACCGGATTGGCGGTTGTTCGCCAGTAGTATTGCGTATACTGCATCCAGTTCGATGTGTTGATTACTTAAATTCGTTGTAGAGCACCAGGCTTCCAAAGACTTCTTCCCGTGTTTTGTGCTTCTATATGCTAAGTTCTTGAAACTCCCAGAGCGAAATGCTGGCCTTTTTTAGCTGCATGCGCAGATACCAATGAGTGCAGATCAGGTCATCTGACGGCCGCCTTTTGATCGGTGATTCGTGTACACAGCTTTCTTCCCATTTGTCCGACGTAGTTTTTTGCCTTCGCTGCATTTTATCTGTTAGATGACATTACCTTGGTCAGCCTGATTGACTTTTGTTTTGGGTCTCAAGATTAATTTCCTTAGGGTGGCACTTAGTCTGTGAGCCACGGAGATTCCATGTGACAGCGGCAACCTTCCTGGTAGTCCGAAGACGTCCTTGATCTAAGGGCGCACTATCCGTTTGTTTGCATGCTTAGGTGCTTTGTGCTGTTGTTACTGACACATCCGTTTCATTAAACTTCTTGATGAAATTTCTCGGGCAACCGTTTTTTCTAAATACTCGATATCGGTGACTTTCTTCCTGTTTCCGCGATTCGGTTGTGCTGTAGTCCTTTGCGCTCTTTTGAAATGGGTTTGAATGCAGCTGCGTTTGTGATTCATCGAGTGGTTGCTGTCGTAGTTTAATCTCTAGGTAGTATGCGTTTTTCCGATGTACACATGTTTGCAGAGCTCAATCGGTATTTCTTATGACCAGTATATCAAAAAATGGGAATATGTTATCCATCACTAATTTAATGGTAATTTTGATATCCTCGAATGTGCTGTTAAGCCAACCGTGCGTGGCCTGTACGCTGTTCCGTTTCATGATGACAACTGTGTTAACCACGTCTCGTAACTAGCGTTTTGTGCTGCTAACTGGCAGCGCAGTGTTTTCCAATTGCTGCTTTACGGCTTCTGCAATGAGCCCCGAAGTGGGGATCCCGTGGATGTACCTCTCAGTGGCTGGTTCAATTGTCCAGCAAAGTGGAAATAAGTGGACATGCAGAGGCTTAGGAATTCCAAAAACTTTCAAGGCGTATTGTTGTCGTTGGGCTTAGTTGACTCTCAAGTATTTCCATCATAGGTTCCGTGGTCAATCCTGAACGAATGCAGTAGAGAGTGCGGTGATATCGAATGAAAACATTATTTTGTCGTTTTCTATTCTGACACTGCACTTTGTAGTGGAATTGCTCAGCAATGTTGATGTCCTTTTCGGATCTAGCAAACAATTGTTTCAACTTCTTCAAAAATTCCTTCGCTGGTTTATATAATAGGTTTCCAGGAGTGATACGGTTGATCGCAGTGGGAGTCCATCCTTGTGTACTATTAGCTCTCTATAGAACAGTACAATGTTTGAGTCATCAGTTTTCACTCTCCATCTCTCCTTGGTGATGAGCTGGTTCTTTGTTTGTAGTTTCTTCCGTGTTGCGTTGACCTGGTTGCAAGTTTTACACTTGGATCTTGATCGCTCTAACTATATTTGGCTGTGCCGGATACAGTTCTTTGGCCTTGTTAATAGACACCGGTTTGTCCGTTAACAACGCCGTGCGACCTATTTGGCTGGTAGGAGTACAATGCTGTTGTCTTTTTGTAGACTTCTGAGCGCCTCCTGTGCCATCTTGGTTGGGTAACTTTCTGGTCCGGGTAACTTTCTTCCTAGTTAGCACTTGAACAACAGTCTGCCGTATCTGTAGCTGAGACTCCTCCGACCGTCCATTTGATTTAAATACGTATGGTAAGCTAGCTAAGTACTTTTTGGGGCAAGCATAATTGACGCTAATTTGCGCCCCTTATTCAAGGCATCCACTTGAGTTGCAGTGTGGTGGCGACGTTAAAGGTTCTTGATCCATCCTTCACTGCTAATGCAGTCATTTCTCTTGGTTAGCTTGTCTAATTTTGTGTTCAATGCCGTCTTGCTTCGGTTCGTTGTGCTTTCGACTTCACCTTCGATTGCGTATTCCAGCGTTGTTCGTACCTGTGGGTTAATAATACTGGGGCAATTAGTTCTATGGTCGGGTTGGACTTTTTCGTATTTGCGTAGGCGGTTTGGGTATCCGCTATCATCAGGTTGACCAGGCCTCTTCCATATTGGCATGCTAACTTTCAGGAGGCTGGATTATGTAGCGCCGGCCTTAGGTTTGTATTTGCTGGCAGCCTCTTTTTTATCGGTCACGATTAGCACGCACTGTTTTCTGCACCTGAACATTAAGTAGGCGACCCTTTTGATCTGGCGAGTTTAAAGATACTAGCACATGAAAGTACTAAATACAGGAGGAAGATTTGGTAGCCTGGTATTTTACAACGAATTTAGTCGATCGAGGCGTCGAACCGGATGTAGCATACGCGACACTGCTGGCGAACGACCACCAACCCGATCGATTGAATCCAGTGGAACGTGTAACTAGAAAACCGGAACTGACGACAGGCTCGCGCCGAAGGGCAAGCAGACAAAGGCCTCCAAACGCAAGGCGGCATGGTCACAAATCATCTGCTTATCAGCCAAACTGAACATGAATCGAAGTCCCAACCAACAGACTTGCTGGTCTCTTCAGGCAACCACGGCGGTATAAGGAACGCGCGCGCACTACGCTTAGCTCACTCTCAATGAGGCACCAATACGCTACCCTGTTCTAATTTACGCCACTCAACTACGCACTGACCATGTCACAAAGACTGGCGAAGTAACGATTTTTAGCTAATCGCCATTCACAGCAAACCGTCCAACCGCCATCTGGACAACCTTGGTTACCAGTCTTTAATTCTACAGCATTAACCTTTCTCATTGCGAATGATGGATTATTCGAAATTACAGTTAAATAAAATTCTACTTGTAGATTGTCCGTGAGAAAGTAAGAAGAGTCTAGAAAATCCACTATTTTAGCGATTATTTGATCATTAACAATTATCGCATCGAGTTTAAACATTCTGGAATATTCTAGTTTCTGCAAGGGACTAAAAATCAGCTAACAACTGGGCAAACGCTTTGGGGAACTAGTAACCTTGGTAGCTGATCTTCTCATTCTAGAAGTGGAAGGGCAGTTGGAGAGCTATAAATACATCCAAGGTCCGCGTCATTTGTACCGTGTTTGGTGACAGCAATTAATACATTAGTTTGTGAAGGTCATTTGGCGTTCTGCGTTTTCCTTCGGTTAAGCTAGAAGTTTTGTTGGGAGGTAAAGCGGCACGTTCGGAATGGCGTCTAGTGTGAAGATTATAAGATAGATGGAAAAAAGAAATGATTAAATAAATAGGTTATTCTCAAGTTTACAGAGACACACCAAAAGCCTCTGCACATTTATATTGAGCAGCTAATTTATCATCATACTGAGTGTTGGTTTGGTCAGCATTACACCAAGGCATATGCGGTAGCACAGGCTTACAATTTGATGCAATACAAGTAAGTAGGGCCTTTAATTTAGAAGGGCGATTGATAACGGATAACGTTTTCATGGGTCCCAAGATAGTAACTGAAGATCGCTTAGTATTTTGAAGGCAATATTGGTACAATCATTCAAAAACGAGCTAACAATAAATTCCACAAGATATCTGCTGGATAGTGCACAGCGGCTGAAAATTAGATTTATATACTGCACAACCAAGGTGACTACCAAGTTGACTATCGGACTTGTGTTAATGAATGAGTGCAACGAATGTACGCACCTTTGAAAGAAGCAAAACTCAGCGTTGAGTATGTTAACACCCACATTAACAATCCGTTTGCAGAAACCTTGGCCACGTAGAGCTTTAAAACCGTGCCAACCTCACGACAATCGTGACTGCCCGACACAGTCTCGACGTATACTCGTTACAAAGAGTGTAGCTCATACTTGATGGTCAAAGATAGTCTTTGAACTTGCGCCGACCTTTTGCGCTCTTTTCTTTTCCTAAGCTCCTACAGCAGCGGTTAAGCAATTAACACACCCGTAGGTAGGTGGTAACAACGTGGCGGCACAAATCGAGGCAGAACATACTGTACTCAGT